CACGTGCCATCACATCCGGATTTGGGGTGTGACACCTTACTCCCTAGTGAATCTCTTATAGTAAAAAAACAAAAAAAAAAACAGTTTAGTTGAAGTAACTTTAATTTTCAACTTTTATAATGTATAGTCTGTGTATTTTATTCAGTTATAAAGAAATTTACATAATAATAATAAGTCCACTTATAAAATAATTACAAGTATATATATATATATATATCATAATCATTTCTTGATAAACAAATTAAGTTATATATTAATGGGAAACATGACAAATATACCTCTGAACTATCATAAATGGTATGCAGATACCCTCCGTCCAAAAACTAGAACATATATACCCTTTATACTAACCGACATACACGTGTCCACCGACCTGACATTTATTAAATATCGGATCGACGAATAAGATTGCGCCATGTGTCCCCTTTAGTCTTCCGTTAGAGTGAAGGGTATATATGCTCTAGTTTTTTAACGGCAGGAGCACCAATGTCCCAAAAGTATGACGGAGGGTATCGATATACCATTTACGATAGTTAGAAGGTATATTTGTCCTTTTTCCCTATATTAATTACTAATTACAAGCTTGATCATCAAATTCTCTCAATCTTGAGCTGCAAAATAATCTTTTCTAATTCCTCATGTGAACAAGGAATTTCCAAAACACCTTTTTGTCTAAATCCATATTCTTCTTCAGCCAACTTTAACAACCTCAAAAATGTTGGATTTTTTAACCAATTCAATTCTAAAATAAACCTTTTTCTCTCTTCCTTAGTATTGACAGCGAAAACAGCAAAATGTCCTACCTTCACATCATATGGTACAACTTCTTCATCTTCTATCGACGTTTCTTTGAAATCAACTCTATTTTTATCGTCATCATAACGAGGCGAAAAATGAATCTTGATGACCTTCTTGATTAAAAGCTTAAGTATTATCATGCCTTTAATTCTTTCTCCTCCAATATTAATCTTGAACATTTTTGAAATGATCTTTTCTTTTTTTGAATTAAATTTGTGAGATAATAATGTGTAGGAATGAAAAGGGGCTTTTATAATTAACTTATGTAGGAAAAGAAGGGAACAAATGAAATTTCTAAGAGGCTTCAAATTTCAATACATATGGGTCCATTTATTTATATTATATAGTTGTCATCCTTCTGTAATTGTAACATTTTATGGGTTTTTTCCTGCTTTAATTTGCAAATTAAATATATGTTATCCAATGTCTATACTAGTGGGAAAAATGGTGCATGTATTAATTTGTTGAATATTTTCTGGTTATGTAGTGTCACATCATGAGGATATGTTGCAAAATAGTTGGAGTATATTCATAGAATTCTTTTAGAGCTTGAGGCGTGTCGTTGACGATACTGTATATTAATGTATTTATTAAAATTCAACAGATTTCTCTTATTTACGAGCTCACTCTTATTTTCTAGCTCTTTATATATAATCTGATTATAGTCTAAAACCTCATTTATTTACACTTGATGAAAATACCAATCTTAATTATATTAGTCAATTTGTTTTTAAGTATGAAACTTAATTATTCAAATTTATACCTGTAAATGTATCTTTTATTTGTTTTACAACCATTTAATAAATATCGATCTATAATAAAATTTTAATAGTATTAATTAAGATGTTTGTTCATATTAAAATATCTATATATTTTCAAAAGTTCAATAAAATCTCAATATAATTAAGATATATATTCAAAGAGTTTTACAAAGAAGACAATCCACCACTGTATCATTTGCTTTCACTATTAATTATCGCTAATTGTTATCAAGTATAATCAATATTATTGTCAATAACTACAATGAACAATCAATATCATTTTCAACCAACCACCAATACAACCACCAATCACTACCATCTATCATCCAACATAGTATATAGTTAACTATTGGAGTATATATTATCATTCGACACTTTCATTAATTACATTGTCACCTCCACCGTTATCAGCTGCCACCAATAACCAACTTTGATCACAAATGTCATCCGTCTTTACTATTATTATTTTCTATTCATAATTATCATCATCAGCCGATACCATCCTAATCAACATCCACAATCACTCATCACCATTACCAATAATCTCCTAATGATTTTTCAAAAACTTAGTTTATAAAGTAATATAAATAGTTTTAATTATTTTGTATTCAAATCATAATACAATATTTAAAAATATTGAAATATATATTCACATTAAGTCATTTTAATCTTAATTTATTAAAAATAAATGAGCACTAAAAGTTTGTTTGAGGTTTGATTAGGTTTTAGTTAAGGTACCAAATTCCGTACGTCGTAAAAATAATTCCGTACAGCTGTTACGCGGTCTACTACATCTTCTCAATTTATAAATAAATTAATTTTTCTTATTTTACAATAAATAAAAAGGAACTTAATATAAAATATTATAATAATTATATAAAATGATCAAGGAGAAATGATTGGAAAGGGCTAGCAGAATCTTGCCTTTTTAAGAAAAAGAAAAAGATATATCATATATATAAACGAAAAGGGTCTGAAAAATACTTCAACTTTGGCCGAAATTGATGTTACGATACCAAACATTATGGAGGACCTTTTACCCCTGTACTATTTAATAGTGTATATATGTGCCCACGTGGACACGTTACTATTTATAATGATGCAATATTTATGATGTCCACATGGACATATATATACCTTTATAAAATACACTATTAAATAGTGCAGGGGGTAAAAAGTCCTTTCCAAAATTCGGTATTGTTACAACAATTTCAGTCAAAGTTCAGATATATCTCAGACCTTTTTCCCTATATATAACGGTAGAATAATGACATTTGTAACTATAATTCAAGCACTACTTTGCTAGTTAAGTGCTCATGCATAAATATGTAAATTGAATCCGAATTATTGATTCTGATATTAGTTGAGCTGAAGTAACTTAAAAATACTACTATTATATAGTGTAATATTGTCCGTTTCAGATCAACCTTACATTATTCTTTCGAAGTAATCTCAACACCATCAAAATTATTGAACATTCAGTTACTAATACAAGACTTTTTTCGATACACATCCAATGAATATAACCGAAATACATTTGATTTTTATTTTTATTTTAAAAAAAATAAGCATAACCAAATGGACCCTTATTGGTTAGGAGATTTGTCTAGTTCAATGTGACAATTACAAATGTTGCTAGCCACAAAGATTAATGATTTTTTTGAAACATATTGTACCACAATGTCTGGTACCATTCCGTATACTTTCTACAACTGGCACGCGGTCTGATATATTAATCATGAATAGTAATAGTAATATATAACATCGTTCGATACGTTGGATGAGATAAATAAAGATATTTTATAAGATGAGATATTATATGAAATTATTTTATCTCATCTTATGAAAATGCATCTAAGATAAAATATTTTGAGTCAACTTTAGTAAATTTTGAACTCAATAATTGGATACAAGGCAATTGAATCGTAAGGGGGAGATCATATATAGTGCGTTTCGCAAGTAGGACGTGGGATTAATACAATGAATTTAGAAACATCAAACCTCACTTGTTGGAAAAAAGTAAAACACATCAAAATGATATCTAGAATTGTAATCCCATCATTTTAATACAAATAATAAAATAATCTTAAAATTAACGAATACTTCAAACTAAATATGATAATTCAATCAATTCCAAAATTATTATTCTTTACCAAACTCTTCCATTTTAATCTTCTTCGACTTGTTTGTATTATTATATTATAATATATGGAGTATTCTACTTGCTTTTATTTTTGAATTATGAGGCATAAGATTTATGTTGACATTAGAGTTTTAATTAATTAGACATAAAATTCAACCATGTAATTAACTATTGGTCATGATATAACTAATAATTATTATTTTTAATAATTAATGATTTGGATTATATTATATAGGCATGCTATGAGTAATTTTGTGACCTCCAATTTTCTCGGGCCTAAAACAAATTTATGTCTTGGGGTAGAGTTGATGTCACACCCCGAGCCTACACCCTGGGCGGGACTGGCACTCGGAGACCATTTCTGGCCCCAAGCGAACCCTTGGCCTGGCTTACTTAACTCAGCGGAAGACTTAACTCAATGAAACAGTCTCAAATAATAACTTAAAGAATAATAAGTTGGCCAAAATGGCACTTAAGTCTTAAACCACATTTGAAAGATAAAGAAAGACATCTGAACTACTAACTATATGACTGTCTATGAAGCCTCTAAAATACTGAGATGGATGTTGGGACAAACCCCACAACA